AAAAAAAAAACAACAAATATAAGTTAGGTTGACATCAGGTTTTCTGTTCTTCACACAGGATTCAAATTCTTGAAGAGTTTGAATGAGAGGTCTGAACAAACTCTCCTTGGCTTAAGTTTTGAAAAATGTCAGTTATGACACTGTCACTACCCTCAGTCCTCCTCATGTTACTCCAAGTTTGTTGAAACTGTAATATTACCTTTGAAATACATTTATTTAGACAGCGAATACCGGGTACATAAACTCTTTAGCTTAAATGTAAAAAAATTGCCAACAGGAAGGTAAAGGTCACTGATGTTTGGCAGTTTTGGGGCCTTGATGATAAGAATTTTCACATTTTATATTGTTATAATAGCATTACCAACTAGTTAACAGTGATAGTAGCATGAATTTCATATGTTAAATATGATGCCCAACCCAAATGAAATCTGATCGGTTTTGTTATTTTTATTTGACAAACATGTAGGTGTATCTGGTGCGGTTTGTAGTTGGCCAAGATTATGGGGAGGACTCCAATAGCTCTGACCCAACACATGTACATGAAGGTTTCTCGGATAACTCCTCATTCCAAAGAACAACTTCTGCATCATCAGCACCAGTGAGAAAGGCAGCTGCGCCAAAACCAAAAGCAGATTATAGAAGGTTCTCAGTGACAACCCAGTTTCCTCCATCCGTATCCATTGCCTCATTGCTGGATGCTGGGAAGCTCATCAAACCAGTCACCAAAAACAAGTGTCTCCTAACCTTTGAACAATTTGACATTGCCTCCAAAGAATGGACAGATGCAATGGAGGTAGAGTGTACAGTAGATTCAGAGAAGTTTTCCTCAGGTGGATTCCGTGATGCTTACCACTGCAAGCTAACTGGCAAATCTGCGGGCCAAAACATTTCAAATCGCTGGGTTATCAAAACGTACAACGAGAAGTCCAAAGAAGTAATTAGTACTCAATTAAAAACTAATATAGAGAGCCATTGTCGTAAGCAAGTACAAATGCATGAGGTAGCTAGGCACTTAACAAAGAAGTTCCAGTCACAGGCATCACAAGAAATGGGAAAGTGTTTTCAGTACAACCATGTATACTACACCACAATAGACGAGAAACCAGCGACAGTTGAGGAATTTGTTCCAGGCCTCTTTGCCAAACTGATTAATAATAATGGCAAGAAGGCCGATCTGCCTGAAGATGCAGATAAAGATTTGAAAGATTTGTTGGCCAAAGCAGAGTGCCTGGTTCACTATACCTATGAATCATCCAACCAACAACTCATGTTACTTGATATACAGGGATCTGGCTACTGTTTATATGATCCCGAAATAGCAACAAATGATATCATGGATGCCAGCAGCTTAGAATACTATTTCTGCTGTGGAAATTATTCATCCGTGGGCATCACATGCTTTCTCAATGAACATGAGTGCAATGCCTACTGTAAGATGATGGACCTAAGTCAGTAAGAGAATGGATTACTGGAGCATAATTCACCTTCCACCTTTTATCAAGATAGCAGCTCAGTGACTGCCTTTCAAGTGTTGTGTTGTTAGTTTAAACCTTACGTCATGCTTCTCACAGACCATTGGGAGGAGAACACGGCATGGAACAGTTCATTTAAGATAACAAATCTTTTTTATCACTGGCATTTTTTACAACGTCCATGAATGTTACTAAGTCTGTAGTTCTTTGTCCTTGGACCATTTGTTGGACAATGTTTTTTACACATTTGAACTACCGGTATAAGGAAAAAAAGTTACAATAAAATGCACTTTTATGATGATGCTGATGGTGATGACTCTTTGTACTTCTCCTTTAAGAAAAGATAGGCATCTGCTGCCTCGGCTGGCTTCACCCCATCAATATTGGGAATAATTCGTTCACAGCTCTCTCTCACAGTTTTTGGTAAGTAGTCATCTACAACTGACTTGACACCTGATAATGAAGCAACCTCATCCAGTGCTTCTAAAGTGACTTGCAAACCTATACAATACAGGAAATTGCACTTGATGAGCACTTGAACATTAACCCTTAATAACTTGTTAGTGAGTGGATCATCATGTCTGCCCTGAAAATATCTGTATTGGCCTCTCTCTCTCTATTGAAGTATAATATTGATGATTTAATCTCTCAAGCTGTCCATAAATTAATTTAACCATCCCCGCTTTTTACACATTGTTTCTCATTGAATTCATTGAATCGATACTTAGTGGTGGGTCATTAATTAAAAAAGGATTCGTACTGGTCCTGGAAAACCTGAAAAATCCTGGAATTTTATTTTCTTATTTTCAAGGACTGGCCAGGACTGGAAAGTCCTGGAAAAAGAACACTGGTCCTGGAAAGTTCTAGACATCTGTTAAACTCAGGAAATCATGTTTTCTTAAAACAATTTTTAAATTTTAAGATTTCTTCAGAAATGCAACACTTGGCTCTCTAAGACATGCTTTGTTGTGCAGTCTGCAAATATTATTCTAAAACATACAAATATTCAGTAAAATACCCTTACCACACTCATTTGCATTGTATTGCTCAGGGAACGAGTACAGGTGATATGGTATCCCTTTAGGCATCTGAGCATCCTTTTGGCTCCTTACTCTATGTGAATTCCACACAGTTTCCCTAAAGATATCCATTTCTTTCTGGATGACAGGAATAAAAATGAATGCCAATAGGTGCCTGTTTAAATGCAAAGACAGCATAGTAAGAATGCAGATCCATGATATTTAAATGTGGCAGGTGTTAACTACAAGTCACAGGCTATGTGTCAGGTCAATTAATAAAGAGAGGTGAAATCAGTATAACATCAAAATTATAAGCACTTGGAAATTAACTGCACATGTTTTCAGTTACCTTATTACATGAAGCTTCTGCAACATGTTAATTTTGAAAATTTCGCGATTTTTCGCAAAATGAAAAAGATGCAAAAAATAAGTGTTGCGAAAATTACATGACGTGAAAATTAAGTGAAACTTCATGTAAATAATCATAAAAAGGATGAGTTTATTACCACTGAGGTCATTACAAGTCTAAAAGCAAGCCAATAGTGGACTTCACGTTACTTTTGGTTTTCAAACTAATTCACACAACTTGGTTGGTGGAAATGTATAAATTTTTATCCTTTTATTCACGTCAATGGCTGGTTACATTAACTTTGTCAAGGAAAAATACCTTATCCCAGGGGCGGTGCATTACTCAAAATTAATAACTACTTAATAACTGCGTGTGAGGGCTTTGCTGTAAAATTCCAGACTGAGGGATAAAATTTTTGCTTTATGGACCGAGCCTCTGGGCGAGGTCCATGAATAGAAAATTTCAGCCCGAACTCTGGAATTTTACAGTAAAGCTTGAGCAAACAAGGTTATTAAGTTGTTTATTATATGGCTTCCGACGGGCAAAGCACGCCAAATAGAGAGAACTTCTAAATTGCTTTCATTTTTTGTCAGGATAATAAAATTCAGATAAGAAATCTTTAGAACTCATAGTTAAAGAAGACCAAGATACGTGTTTTGTTAAATTTCTTGCTTTTTTAATGAAGTTTCTTTCAGCGAAAGTCACAAAGTTAGCTAGGTTTTGTAAACGAAAACGGTGGTGGGAAAAATCTGTAATGCCCGTGGGCGTTTACCAGGAAAGTATGGAACGCTAATTAACCAATGAGAACGCGCGTACTATCGCAGCCATATAATAAAGTGACTTAAAACACAAAATTTTCCAAAAAATTGCGAAATTTAAGTGTTGCGAAATATTTGAACCTCAAAATCACGAAATTAACGTGTCACGAAAAATTCATGTAATAAGGTATGTAAAATGAATTAAATAGAACTGGTACTGTTCATGTAATGTATTTGAAAACATAGTTAATACCTGTCTGGTTGATCACTTGGATCATAGTGGCCTTGTTCCAGTAACATAGTGAGCTGCCTCTTGAAAAATCTTTCAAATCTATTGTGCAGGTCTCGCCACCATCTTTCTATCTGTGAAAAATGGTTCAAATCTGTGTTGATAATGCAATTCAAAAAGTAAACAATCAGTTATTACCCTTAAATGTATAGGTCAGAAAAAAGGTTTTTGGAATGTGAAGCACAGATTCCTGCATTTTCATTACCATCATTAAAATCTACATCAAAAATTCAGAAAAGCCTAAGTGGGCACCAAACTGATGTTTTATTGTCGGAAAGTGTTTAGTTAACTGCCTTACCTTGTTATTTGTTGAAGGACCATAAAAAACTGTATCTGCCTCCTCATCTTGCTCTTGCCTTAAAAAAGCGTGAATAGTAGCCATGTGCCCTGTCTCAGTTCCTTTATCCAGCCTCAGATATTTACTGATCACTTGAATGAAAAAAAGATAATAAAATAAGTAAATAAATAAATAAATAAAGCTTAAAAAATCGTACATGTATGTAGAGCCCAGGGGGGGCTCTGGATATTTTGGGTAGGGGTGTGTCGCTGGGACTCTGAGACCCTTACCCTATACTAGATCATGTTTGAATTTTGCGACTCTCTTCTAGACTAGATGCGTAAAATTACCACCCTATTCCAGACTTGCTAGTCTCCAGGAACTTTATTTCTGTCACAGGAAGTTGCTTATACGGTAAATGATACCCTATTCCAGACCAAAATGCTCTGATTTTTAATACCCTATCCTAGACTAAACTGCTCAAAAACCCTACCCTTCACAGCAGCACATACCTATAAGCTTTATGTATGGGAGTACCCCTCCCCGGGATGTAGAGCTTAACCTTAGTTAACTATGGTTCAGCTTTGACTGTATCATGATCAGTCTGCAATTGCCATTGTATATATTTTGCATACAGGACCAATGTTACCTTTTGTTTTGTACAGATGATCCATGTACCAACGACCAATAAGCTTAGGGTCAGAGTTTGTGGTCCATAATTTCAGATACAAAATGTATCCACTAAAGGCATCTTGCAAGCCGTAAACAGCTAAAGGAAAAGTGCTATTCATGAAACCCATTAGCTTGTCGTGGCCATCCCCAGAATGAGTGTGATTAGGTCCCTGTATACAAGATAACATAATAAAATAACTACTATGACATGACACTATGACCATAAGCCTATTACAGAAGGGGGATCCTTGGCTGATCGGATTAGGGAAGTCCAGAAAATTTATGGGAACTCACCAAACTGAAAGACGAAAAGAATTTTGGCAGTTTTGGGGCCTTGATGATAAGAATTTTCACATTTTATATTGTTATAATAGCATTACCAACTAGTTAACAGTGATAGTAGCATGAATTTCATATGTTAAATATGATGCCCAACCCAAATGAAATCTGATCGGTTTTGTTATTTTTATTTGACAAACATGTAGGTGTATCTGGTGCGGTTTGTAGTTGGCCAAGATTATGGGGAGGACTCCAATAGCTCTGACCCAACACATGTACATGAAGGTTTCTCGGATAACTCCTCATTCCAAAGAACAACTTCTGCATCATCAGCACCAGTGAGAAAGGCAGCTGCGCCAAAACCAAAAGCAGATTATAGAAGGTTCTCAGTGACAACCCAGTTTCCTCCATCCGTATCCATTGCCTCATTGCTGGATGCTGGGAAGCTCATCAAACCAGTCACCAAAAACAAGTGTCTCCTAACCTTTGAACAATTTGACATTGCCTCCAAAGAATGGACAGATGCAATGGAGGTAGAGTGTACAGTAGATTCAGAGAAGTTTTCCTCAGGTGGATTCCGTGATGCTTACCACTGCAAGCTAACTGGCAAATCTGCGGGCCAAAACATTTCAAATCGCTGGGTTATCAAAACGTACAACGAGAAGTCCAAAGAAGTAATTAGTACTCAATTAAAAACTAATATAGAGAGCCATTGTCGTAAGCAAGTACAAATGCATGAGGTAGCTAGGCACTTAACAAAGAAGTTCCAGTCACAGGCATCACAAGAAATGGGAAAGTGTTTTCAGTACAACCATGTATACTACACCACAATAGACGAGAAACCAGCGACAGTTGAGGAATTTGTTCCAGGCCTCTTTGCCAAACTGATTAATAATAATGGCAAGAAGGCCGATCTGCCTGAAGATGCAGATAAAGATTTGAAAGATTTGTTGGCCAAAGCAGAGTGCCTGGTTCACTATACCTATGAATCATCCAACCAACAACTCATGTTACTTGATATACAGGGATCTGGCTACTGTTTATATGATCCCGAAATAGCAACAAATGATATCATGGATGCCAGCAGCTTAGAATACTATTTCTGCTGTGGAAATTATTCATCCGTGGGCATCACATGCTTTCTCAATGAACATGAGTGCAATGCCTACTGTAAGATGATGGACCTAAGTCAGTAAGAGAATGGATTACTGGAGCATAATTCACCTTCCACCTTTTATCAAGATAGCAGCTCAGTGACTGCCTTTCAAGTGTTGTGTTGTTAGTTTAAACCTTACGTCATGCTTCTCACAGACCATTGGGAGGAGAACACGGCATGGAACAGTTCATTTAAGATAACAAATCTTTTTTATCACTGGCATTTTTTACAACGTCCATGAATGTTACTAAGTCTGTAGTTCTTTGTCCTTGGACCATTTGTTGGACAATGTTTTTTACACATTTGAACTACCGGTATAAGGAAAAAAAGTTACAATAAAATGCACTTTTATGATGATGCTGATGGTGATGACTCTTTGTACTTCTCCTTTAAGAAAAGATAGGCATCTGCTGCCTCGGCTGGCTTCACCCCATCAATATTGGGAATAATTCGTTCACAGCTCTCTCTCACAGTTTTTGGTAAGTAGTCATCTACAACTGACTTGACACCTGATAATGAAGCAACCTCATCCAGTGCTTCTAAAGTGACTTGCAAACCTATACAATACAGGAAATTGCACTTGATGAGCACTTGAACATTAACCCTTAATAACTTGTTAGTGAGTGGATCATCATGTCTGCCCTGAAAATATCTGTATTGGCCTCTCTCTCTCTATTGAAGTATAATATTGATGATTTAATCTCTCAAGCTGTCCATAAATTAATTTAACCATCCCCGCTTTTTACACATTGTTTCTCATTGAATTCATTGAATCGATACTTAGTGGTGGGTCATTAATTAAAAAAGGATTCGTACTGGTCCTGGAAAACCTGAAAAATCCTGGAATTTTATTTTCTTATTTTCAAGGACTGGCCAGGACTGGAAAGTCCTGGAAAAAGAACACTGGTCCTGGAAAGTTCTAGACATCTGTTAAACTCAGGAAATCATGTTTTCTTAAAACAATTTTTAAATTTTAAGATTTCTTCAGAAATGCAACACTTGGCTCTCTAAGACATGCTTTGTTGTGCAGTCTGCAAATATTATTCTAAAACATACAAATATTCAGTAAAATACCCTTACCACACTCATTTGCATTGTATTGCTCAGGGAACGAGTACAGGTGATATGGTATCCCTTTAGGCATCTGAGCATCCTTTTGGCTCCTTACTCTATGTGAATTCCACACAGTTTCCCTAAAGATATCCATTTCTTTCTGGATGACAGGAATAAAAATGAATGCCAATAGGTGCCTGTTTAAATGCAAAGACAGCATAGTAAGAATGCAGATCCATGATATTTAAATGTGGCAGGTGTTAACTACAAGTCACAGGCTATGTGTCAGGTCAATTAATAAAGAGAGGTGAAATCAGTATAACATCAAAATTATAAGCACTTGGAAATTAACTGCACATGTTTTCAGTTACCTTATTACATGAAGCTTCTGCAACATGTTAATTTTGAAAATTTCGCGATTTTTCGCAAAATGAAAAAGATGCAAAAAATAAGTGTTGCGAAAATTACATGACGTGAAAATTAAGTGAAACTTCATGTAAATAATCATAAAAAGGATGAGTTTATTACCACTGAGGTCATTACAAGTCTAAAAGCAAGCCAATAGTGGACTTCACGTTACTTTTGGTTTTCAAACTAATTCACACAACTTGGTTGGTGGAAATGTATAAATTTTTATCCTTTTATTCACGTCAATGGCTGGTTACATTAACTTTGTCAAGGAAAAATACCTTATCCCAGGGGCGGTGCATTACTCAAAATTAATAACTACTTAATAACTGCGTGTGAGGGCTTTGCTGTAAAATTCCAGACTGAGGGATAAAATTTTTGCTTTATGGACCGAGCCTCTGGGCGAGGTCCATGAATAGAAAATTTCAGCCCGAACTCTGGAATTTTACAGTAAAGCTTGAGCAAACAAGGTTATTAAGTTGTTTATTATATGGCTTCCGACGGGCAAAGCACGCCAAATAGAGAGAACTTCTAAATTGCTTTCATTTTTTGTCAGGATAATAAAATTCAGATAAGAAATCTTTAGAACTCATAGTTAAAGAAGACCAAGATACGTGTTTTGTTAAATTTCTTGCTTTTTTAATGAAGTTTCTTTCAGCGAAAGTCACAAAGTTAGCTAGGTTTTGTAAACGAAAACGGTGGTGGGAAAAATCTGTAATGCCCGTGGGCGTTTACCAGGAAAGTATGGAACGCTAATTAACCAATGAGAACGCGCGTACTATCGCAGCCATATAATAAAGTGACTTAAAACACAAAATTTTCCAAAAAATTGCGAAATTTAAGTGTTGCGAAATATTTGAACCTCAAAATCACGAAATTAACGTGTCACGAAAAATTCATGTAATAAGGTATGTAAAATGAATTAAATAGAACTGGTACTGTTCATGTAATGTATTTCAAAACATAGTTAATACCTGTCTGGTTGATCACTTGGATCATAGTGGCCTTGTTCCAGTAACATAGTGAGCTGCCTCTTGAAAAATCTTTCAAATCTATTGTGCAGGTCTCGCCACCATCTTTCTATCTGTGAAAAATGGTTCAAATCTGTGTTGATAATGCAATTCAAAAAGTAAACAATCAGTTATTACCCTTAAATGTATAGGTCAGAAAAAAGGTTTTTGGAATGTGAAGCACAGATTCCTGCATTTTCATTACCATCATTAAAATCTACATCAAAAATTCAGAAAAGCCTAAGTGGGCACCAAACTGATGTTTTATTGTCGGAAAGTGTTTAGTTAACTGCCTTACCTTGTTATTTGTTGAAGGACCATAAAAAACTGTATCTGCCTCCTCATCTTGCTCTTGCCTTAAAAAAGCGTGAATAGTAGCCATGTGCCCTGTCTCAGTTCCTTTATCCAGCCTCAGATATTTACTGATCACTTGAATGAAAAAAAGATAATAAAATAAGTAAATAAATAAATAAATAAAGCTTAAAAAATCGTACATGTATGTAGAGCCCAGGGGGGGCTCTGGATATTTTGGGTAGGGGTGTGTCGCTGGGACTCTGAGACCCTTACCCTATACTAGATCATGTTTGAATTTTGCGACTCTCTTCTAGACTAGATGCGTAAAATTACCACCCTATTCCAGACTTGCTAGTCTCCAGGAACTTTATTTCTGTCACAGGAAGTTGCTTATACGGTAAATGATACCCTATTCCAGACCAAAATGCTCTGATTTTTAATACCCTATCCTAGACTAAACTGCTCAAAAACCCTACCCTTCACAGCAGCACATACCTATAAGCTTTATGTATGGGAGTACCCCTCCCCGGGATGTAGAGCTTAACCTTAGTTAACTATGGTTCAGCTTTGACTGTATCATGATCAGTCTGCAATTGCCATTGTATATATTTTGCATACAGGACCAATGTTACCTTTTGTTTTGTACAGATGATCCATGTACCAA